CCTCCATAGCTGCGCCAATGAATCCTTCCCGGCAGAGATGCTCGTTTCACTTTATTTTCCAAATAAATTCTTAAATCCTAAATAAACAAAAAATTAGATTGTGAATTTTTTTATTATATTAAAGATTTTGCCGATTTTCAAGTTTTTGATAATAATATGTTTTTGTTTTTCATTTTCTTATGTAATGATAATTATATCATATAGTGACGGTTATAAGTTGATAATTTCTACTGCGAAGTAATGATTTCGCTGCGTAAAATGAATCTAATTATTTTCTGTAAATGTACCCTTATGTTCTGCGAAAATAGTTACAGGCTAATTTCGTTTGTTTAGAAGCGAGTCGAAAATGGCAAGTAGAAGAAAAGAATAAGAGCACTAAGCCGCTGGAAAAAATATTTCTAAGCAACATGATTTACCTGCTATCTTCGACAGGTAAAAGACATGTCCTGCATGTCCTGACTTTTCAAAGGGATAATTTGTCGTTTTTAGTTTCAAGCAAATTCCTTGGCCGCAACGCGATCATTATTGAACGACTTTAGTCTGAAACGAAAAGGAAGTATGCCGCGTAATTTGTCCATAAACATCGGTATTCGGTGTTTGCACGCATTCTGTTTTTCTAAAGAAAACTTTTAGAATAAATGATCTACGTAGGAACCGATTGAGCAGAAAAGATCTCAAATATTGATCTATTAGAAGTTAGAATATCCGAAATCTCCGAATATCTTAATTAATATTTTCTGGCCAATAAGTTAAAAACTGACCAAGTCAGATGGGTTGATAAATAATAATCATAGCTAATTATTTATTGATGAGGCAAAAACTATAATTTTTGCCTGATAGAACTAGGAGTATCTTGATTGTTATTTACAAGTTAACAAAACTAACAAACTAATAAAAAACTGACCAGGTCAAATGGAATAAAATATAATCTAATAATAATAATAAATGTTTAAGATAAAAGAATAGAATAAAAAAAGATCAAATATTTCAGGAAATTGAAAGATGTAAGATAAGATAAGATTTTATTATATTTTTGTTTGTTATCTATAAAAAAAGACTCTCATCTGTTAATTTTTTTTATTTACTGCGGAGTTAAACGCTTAGAAAATCGTTTTATGCAGAATGACTCAAGCGTTGATTGTTATTTAGTTTACTCTCTCGGCTTTTGTCGTATAACTGTATCACGTCTTGTGTCGATAACGGTCCTGTTTTCACGGAAATCGTTATATGTGTCAGATTGTGGCGTTCATCTCGACATACATCATCGTATTTATTAGACGGAGGTGGCTCGAAACCCGTAATTATCGTCATGTACAATGGAAATCTTGGAACGTGAGATACGAATCGGAAATGGAAGAATAATGTGATTAATCTTGATATAGCGCGATATAAGTGGCATATGGAGCGTGAGCTGTGTTTCGACGTGTGTTCGAGGCGAGAAGGAGAGGAGAGGAAGACCACCCACCTCGGCGTGAAACGTACGTCTCGGTTAGCAACGCTCTGTTAGGATAATAAACGTAATGGTAATGGCAAAAATGATGAAGCATGGCTCGCGCCGTAACAACGTCGCCGATACAACGTCCACGAGATCGCATCGCACCGCGATGTGCATTCGACACCTCGCGTACCGAGAAATAATCAATTTTCCGACTGGGAAGTCTTAAAATCGCGCCGAGAGAAATCCCATTGGTGACGACGACGACGACGACGACGAGGACAGAAGATATTTTCTCACCTGACCGGATCAGCCGAGTAATTACCGGACGACCTCGGCTAGCTTCTTCCGCCTCGGTCTTTAATTAGAAGATTATAAACGCGATTTTTGCAACGCCCGACGCGGTTTCGTCGTTTTTCCACGCTTGCTCATGGATTATGACACTTCAGACGATCGTTTATCCATCTTGAAATGTTCGTTGCAACGTGTTAACAGCCGCGGGATGATTTATGGATCGGATAAGGGGGTATGGTGGGCGACGGGAAATCGAACGTGGTTAATCAAGCGTATTACGTCAACCGTCATCCGACGTACTATCAATTCGCAAGGATACCCATGAGATTATTTTTTTACCTGCAGATATATATGTATATATTTGTATCCTAAGGTATCACAACGTGGAAATTTACGTGAAATTGTACGCGTCAGTGGAAGAAAAGAAGAGATGATAAATACGCGGAAACGGCTTCCTCGCGTGTATTCTGCACATTGTTGTCGGACGAAGTCGGCCTCGCTTCTCTTTCCGAGTAACATAGCAGCCGACACACTTCCCAGTCGCTACTACTTGATGTATTTTTCACGGATTCGCGATCTCGACGGTTAGTTACTGGATAACGTAACTGGCTAGCATGTTGTACAATACCGAAAGTACCGCAGAAGCTAACTGCATTAACTGTAATGTACGATTAATCTAATTAGAATCTAACTCCACTTTATTTCTCCCTGACATAACAATTTTTTCTATTTAAAGTTTTCTTCGTAATATTGCAATATTATTAATTACATTGATTGATATTTGTTTCCAGATGTTAAACAATAATTTTATTTGTTTTTATAAGTTGTTCGGGAAAAGTTTTTTTTTATCGCGAAGCAAAAAGAAAACTTTAGAAAGTATATA